CCTGCCCCTCCTCCCCGGGGACAGCCCAAACACACAGGGGACAGGCAGGGGACTCCAGAAAACGCAATCCCGCAGAGCCTCCTTCGACGCACGCAGGACGGGCCGGGCCAGCTACGGGCCAGCGGGGAGGCTGTCCCCAGTCACAGCAACGGCCCCGCAGTGAAAGCCTCTATGACAAATAACAAGGCTGGAGAGGCACTCACTTCTGAGGGTGGAGGTGGCAGCGTCGGGGTTGGGATCTGTGGGAGGCTGCTCAGCTTCGTTCCGTTTCTCACCATCTGGATGTGGTCGTTGAACTGATCCTAGCAGAGAGGAAAGCAAACAGAGGCATGTACCAAAGGCTCTGCCTGAGGAAGTCTCAGGCGCTGCGTGCCTGGAACAGGCAGATTCCCCTGCCGGGGCAAAGCGTTCTCGGCCCTGGAACGGCTGCGGGCCCTACAGCAGACAAGAGTTTGGCTCCACAGGAGTCAAGAGAATAAAAAAGGAGCCAGAGGGAGAAACAGAGTAACTGCCTCTGCAATTAACCCGACACCCTGCTTTCCTATCCACGTGGCTCATCCACACGCACCAGCCTGACGAGGCGGGCAGAAGGTCTCTGCAGCCGCTCGCAAAGGCGGACTGGCCGGGCACAGTCTGAGTGCACAGCTCAGCTTTTTCTGGGGCTCCCCCGGAGAGGGCTGACACTAAGCGTGCAAAGCAGCGTCCACGCGAAGAACTGCCCGCTCTTAGGCTGGGAGCCGCTCAGCGGGAACTTACTCGTACGCTTTCCTTGGTCATTCGTATCCTGTTCAGCCTCATCTCCCACTCCTGCTTTGGCCTCATCGTCTCCAGCGTGGGTGGCGCAGACCTGCAAGCACAACTGAACTTTCCCACTTGCAACTGCGCTCTCACTGGCGGCAAAGCGGGAGCAACTAACACCCCGCACCCTCCTGCCTTCCCCCCTCCCTCCTCCGGCTGGGCAGGAAGAAGGGCTCACGCCCAGGCAAGAAACCCCCGCAAGAGGAGAGCGCGTGGTGCTACCGGAGCACAGACTGATCTGCTGGACAGAGACACAGACACCACGGCCAACGCCATGCCAGCAGCTCTCCATCAAGGGCACGGCACGCGTTTAGCAGATGAACAGCAATAGAGAATAAGCACAGCCCCACCTACCCTTGTGTGGTGACATTACCGAACCACGTTATTTTAATAAGAAAGCCACAGGAAACCTTGAACGACTGTCAAACCTCCGGTGCAAGCAGAGGAAGAGGAGATAGGTACGTAGGGACGCTTGAGCTACCCTTTCTGAGACGACACGGACTTACTTGAGGTAGGTGAGGTGTAGCTCTGCTTCTTTTTCCGCTTCTTCTAGTTTCAACACCAGCAGCTCCTTTCGGCTCTCCAGGGACAGGATCTGGCAGAGAGAGGCCCCACATGAAGAGTTTTTGTACTCCCCTGTTTCTTGCGGCCAGGCTACGACTGTAACCTCTTCACTAAGCACCAAGCTAAGGCAGTTAGTCCCAACTTTACTGCACGGGTATTATTTGCTTATCTCTTCTCTTGTCCTGCGGAGAGGGAGACTTAGCCTCGTCCTCAACTGCTCCTTATGTCCCGGAATCATTCATTACAACCGGGAATCTTAAAAAGCCTCTCTTCAACAACTGCTTTGCAGGTAAGAAGTCACCTACTAACCTCTGCTTTCCAGGCCCGTTCCGTCTCCTCGAGAATGTTCCTGTTGATTTCATTGTGCTGGTTCTTCAGCTTATCTAGCTCCATCTCCCATAGCTGCCTGCAGACAGAAACAGAACGAGTCAGCCTGGGCTTAGGCGCTGGGACGGCGTGGAACGGGAGAGCTGACAAACTCCCACAAAACCCATCGATCCCGGTAGCTCTGGGCGGGGTGAAACGGTGGAAGATCGACAGCTTCCAGACCACGGCAGCAGCCACCGTTCCCAAGCTGCATGAGTCACCGTCCCAGGAGCGAGCTGTTCCAAAGCACGCCAACAGCCAGTGTGCAAACACTCGGGCAAAACGAGGAGAGGGGAATTCCCCTCGGCAAAATTCAGTCCAGCGCCAGGGAAAGGTGCACAGCTCCGAACCAGGAAGCAACCCGAACCAGCACACAGAGCTAAGCCGTGCTGATCCCGGAGAAGTTTAAAGCTGGCCCTTTCCACCTATGTTATGTGAGCGTCTGTGCCTGGATCCAGAGCTTCTCTGCCCAGATTTAAGATACCCGAGCGTGCCAGAGCCTAGAGTAGCTGGGCGGCTGTGGTGAGCAGAGAGAAATAGGTTTGTGCTAATTCTGGGTAATCAGAGGTAGCAGTTACAAGCCGAGTCAATCCACTGAGCATAAACTCTAATCTTACGGGATCTTTATGTCCCAAGTATCTAGGAGCCTGCTTGTGACCAGGATCAAAGAGGATTTAATCCAGAGACCAGGGGCAGCAGCCGGCTGGAAGGGGAGATAAAGCCTGCAGAGCACCTAACCGGACAGCGCCGGCAGGCCGCTCTCTCCAGCCTACCCCACCAGAAGCCTCAGGCAAAATGACTGGAAGGAAAAGAGTATTCGGCAGCACCAATCCAGTAATAGACAGGAGCCTTACTTTTCATCGGACTGCTCTGCGATCAGAGAGGCAATCTTGTTTTCCTTCTCCTCCTGTTCTTTCAGCAACCTGCACAAGAGAAAAAGGACAGACACAGTCACCTCCCGTGAAGGTGGCGTCGCCCAGGCACTGATGCCGCGGGCCCCAAGTTTAAACAACGTATTGGCACGGCCGTGCGCCCAAGGTAACGACACGCTCCGAAGACTGCACCATTCAGCAAACGTTTGAGAGCAACCACTAACATCCTCCAGGGCAAAAATTCTGCTGTATCATGATACTGCAGAAAGACCGTGGCATAGAACCAGAATCCACCGCAGGGAGCTGTGCTGCTCTGACACCGCGTGCTTTGCAGCCGTTCACTGGGGCGAAACAGGGGCCAAGCCCTGAGAACCATTGCTAACGGAGCTTTATCCAAAAACATCACCGAGCATCAGAACCAAACCGAAAGCAGACCTCTGCGACGTGACAGAACGGCTCTGTAGGCGTGCAGATTCACCACCCGAAGGGACCTGCAGACCTTCCCAAACAACTCGCTGCTTGCTCGCGTTAGACCAGCCCCCCGCCGAACCGAGCGAGCTTCTTTGGGCAGAGCACACGGCCTGCCTCGCAGCAAAGCCCGGCAGCGGCAGTCAGCCCGTCGCAGCACTGGGGGTAAGGCACAGCCAGCAGCCTACCGAAGCGGGAAATTTTGGGGAGAACCACTCGGAACGGCCAACGAGCCCCTGCCCCTGGCGCTGCCACGCAGCAGCCCTGCCTCCCGCGGGAAGGCTCTAGGTTCTGGAAGACGGCAGCCCGCAGAGCTGAGCTGCACCTTATGCTCTCCCCGCGTACGCCAGGCAAAGCAGTAACCCCCTGCCCCAGCGTTCGCGTGGAGATCGTCTGTAAAGAGAAGCTGCTCTGTCTCTGGCAGATCCATGCAAAACCGCCCAGGTCTGTCCCAAACTGCTCCCCAAACCACTCGCTGCGTCCAAAGAGTTTGAAGCCATCCTCTTTTGCTTCACCACCTATACGTCAGGGTTAAGCTATGCCTGTGCTCCTAAAAAAAGCCCCTCTGCTTGCTTTTCCACACTGTTACCTTCTGCCTTTCTCGCAGAGTTTCTCAATTTCCGCTTTCAGATCCTGCTCTTTCTGCAAGAATTCTTTCTTTTCCTTCTCCATCTTCTTCTTCGTCTCTTCCCGCTTGATCGTAACATCCTGAATTGCCTTCAGGATCTCCTAGAGTAAAACAAGCATCACACAAATAAAGAGCGCAATTCCCAAGCCACGGTTTTGGTTTTAAACCCGTTATTATTTTAGATTAATTGACGAGAGATTATGAAATTACGCGCGTTATCAGAATCTTTCTCGTGAGTAGATGCAGACGAGATCTATAGCAGCTGTCAGGAGGAAACCCAGGAGGCAGGCAGACGGGCTAAACCGCAGGCTCTCCTGCCTCCGTAGAAGGATTTCCAGGGGCAAGCGAGTTCTGCTCGGTTTTAGATCCAGCCGATGGGCCAGCGATGGTTCCTTTTCCCTTAAATTCAGCAGCCACAGGGCCAGCTAGGAATCGCTCGTTTAACCTAGCGACCCGCCAGCAACGGCCACAGAGATCGAAATAATCACGGGGAGCGAATTCCCCTCGCTTCACACCGGTTTTCTTTTGGGAAAAATGCCCTGCTCGTTGAAGAGATGTCGCAAGATCGCTGGCGGGAGCGGATGTGCACGCAGGATGCTGCGTTAGGAATTAGTGCTGAGCTGCTCAGCACCCCGGTTTGGGCAGGGGCCAGTCCTGAGCGGTGTAAAACAGCGCAGGGCAGAGGAGAAGCTGCCAGGCGGCGTGTCGATGCCGCTTCTCACAGCCTGCTTTGCTTCCCGCTGTGGCCCCCGGCGCGAGGCCCAAGCAGCCCCGCTGCAGCTGCTTAAGCTGTACCTGCAGCTGATTCTCCACTTGCCTCTGTTTGTCCAACACCTCCTGGTAGCGCTCCTTCAGCAAAGCCCTCTCGGACATCATTTTGTCCTGCAGCGGAGAGGGGAAATTTAGGGAGAACCTTCCCCTTCCCTCAGGCTAAAGAGAGCACGGACAGGGCCAGGAAAGCTCAGCGGCGCGTAGGAGCCCCGTAGGTGCCCCTGTCAAGAACCACAGTTAAACGCCTTCCGCTTTCCAAGCTCAGGATCTCAAGATCAGAGCGGACGAAGGGAGGCACAGCCCAGAACCTTTAAAAAAGGGTGGCTTAAGAACCCCAAGGCTGTACGTCAACGAGAAAAAACAGCCCGTGGGAAGGGCAGCGCTCCAGCTCCTCTGCCCGGGGATCGGCAGCACGGGAGCGCGAGTGGCGGGGCCTGGACCCGATGGCCGGGCTTCGATACCCACCAAGTTCTTCTCGATATCCTGATCCGTGTTGACATCCATATCGGCCGTCTTGAAGTCAGTCTGCGAAGGGAGATGGTCGCGGTCAGACCCCCCCACCCCTGCAGCTTCGCCGAGCGGCCGGGCCCACGGCATCGACCGCTCCGGGAGAAACGGCACCAGGTTCGGGCGGCCACTTTTCACCAGAAGGGCGATG